CTTTTCTGCTATGAAAATAGTGAAGACTAATTTGCGTAACAGAATTGGCGACCAGTTTCTCAGTGACTATTTAGTTTGTTTTATTGAAAGAGATGTATTTGAAACAGTAACAAATGAAATTGTAATAGATCTCTTTCAAAAAAATGAAAACTCAAAGAGCGCAGTTGTGATTTACTTTATTTTTGCTTTTTGACATTGTAATATACTTCATTTCATTATAATGTTCTTTTGCTACAACTATTTGTTGTTCAGATATATTTATCAAGTATTTTTACTTTATATTGTCTTTATGTTCTTCATCATACTCTGCCCCCAGCACTTTCATTTCCTGGATCCACCACTGATTGCACCCCTAACATGCTTTCTAATGAAGCCCTTCTTGATCTTTTGTGGGAGGAAAGTGTGTCAGCAGAGGATCTTGATCTCCTCCCTAGTTTTGATTGTCTTATGATTGGTGGAGAGGAGGACTCAAGTGATGCTAGTTCTGTGCGGGTGACGGGAGATAATTTAGATGAGGTGGAGAAGGAAATTTTTCAGGCCGATTCCATTTTTGTTACTCCTTCTCCATTAAATCTAAAGTCTCTTCCATTCCACCTTGAGTATGATTTTATTGATGGTAGTCCCGACCCCCCTGTTATTCTTGCACCCGAGCTTGAGCCATCCCAAAATTTAGCATGTTTTAATTTACTTAGTAAACAAAGGGAAGCTCTAGCCCGGAAAATTTCTGACATGAAAGGGAGTTGTCCATTCTTTGACCCATTCTTTGTTAAAGGGCCTGATAAAGGCCACAATCCATTCTTTTGCTTTACGGGTGACCCTGAGATGCGTAATTGTTTTCATGAATTTAAGGTCTTACGCCATCTCAGGGCATTTGTTGATATGAGGTTTGATTTGTGGAAGACTAATTTTCTTAGCGGGAGTGTCTTTGACTGAGTTTTTGATGAGGTGGTTGCGTCGGGCAAACGACGCTAAAAATAGCGCTACTTGGGAGACAACCCAAGCTTATTTCTGCACTTTTGTTTTTGTTTGTTTGCTTTGAAGAAACCCCCGGAAAAAAACAAAAAAAAACGGGGTGTTTTCTGTTTTTTGTTTTGTGTGTTTTGTTTTTGCAGCTCAGAGTCTTGCTTTGGGGATGATGTGCCGAGAATCACTTGACTCAATTTAGTTCTGCACCGACCAGCGTCTTAGGGAAGTTTCTGTGACTCTTATAATCGCGTGTTTGTGATAATTGACTTGAGTTGAGTTGAGCATGCATGACACTTTCCTCTTTACCCACTTGTGCATAGTGCATTTTTTGTCATCGAGGGTGATGCCAAAGTTTAAGTGTGGGGGAGTGAATTGGGCATTCGGGCAGTAGTTGTTACATGTGATTATTAGAGTTAGCATACGCAGGTGTTAGTTGTATATTTATAGGAAAGTCATGTCAAAATTTTTTGAAATTTTTTCTTTAAACTGTCTTTGTGAACTAGCTAGCGTTTTGACTATGTTTTTAGAACATCCTTGAAGTATTTAGACTTAAATTGCTTACACTATAATCTAGTTGATTGAGAGGATGAAGGCATTAGTCACCCATTGATTTATTCATAAATCATCCACCCTGCCTGAAAAAGTCTTTTAGGAGAAGCCACTTTGAGCCTGACCATTTATTGATTACCCAATTAATTGAGCTCCATAGCCAAATGGCTCGTGTTTCCTTACCCGTGAATATTTCTGACAAAGTCTTAGTGTTTAGGGAATTAGGGGATGAATTTGCTAAGTTTAGAGAATTTGTGTAGGGGCCACTTTTGGCACTGTTCCTATGCTCCAAAAGGGGTAAGAGCGGACACTTTTTAGGAATTTGATATTTTCGAGGATTGCATTGTAGGCATGGATTCACTTTGAAATAAATGAACTTTAATTGCTATTTTTCCTTGGTGAGGCCGAGATTAGAATGGGGTAATGTCTAGTAAAAATCCGAAAGGTGAAAAATTATTAATAGCTAGACCTCTTACCTTGCGAAAAAGAGAATGAGAGCCCCGGTCAAAAAGTGTAAGATGAGGCTTGGGTATCTTTCGAAAGAAATGGCGTTCTCGTGCCAACATGACAAGGGAAACTGGACCTAAATTAATGAACTTGGAGGCTATTGAAAAAAAATATAGCTTTAGTCCTCCACGTACTTCAAGTATACGTCAAAGCATCAATGTGCCGTGGCGGTTTAGCTTAGTTGTACACCATGTCTACTTTTTGCATAGGTTTAAATGATTGTTCCTGATTCGTGGTCTACTAAGTTCTTTGATCCTAAGAATAGCCCCAAAATTTATGAATGCATTAAGTCTTTATTAGGATGTTCCAAACTTAAAAAAAAGGACTCTTTATTACCATTCACCATTCACCACCGCCTTCACAAGTCCTTCTGATCGATAGCTAGTTTATTTGTCTATGCTGTCACTACTTTGAGGATGTTGTGAATAATTTTGTCAAATATTTTAGTTAGAGTACAAAGATGTGGTTTAGGGAGGAATTTTCTTGGTTTAGTCTGTATGTTCTATGAGTGTCCCTTTAACTACGTGTGCATGCTAATTGTTTTAATTCCGTGTGGTGATTATCGTAAGTCCCGTTGTTCATTTTGCTTGAGGACAAGCAAAGGCTTAAGTGTGGGGAGATCTGATAAGTCCGTATTTAAACACACATTTGATGCGTGTTACGATCGGCTTTTGATGGTTTTCCTGGCTTTAAGGTGTTACAAGTCTCACTTTTAGCTCAAGTTATGTTTACCGGGGGTTGGTTCGAGTTTTGTGTTGTTTGGAGTCAAAATCAGGAATTTAGAGTTCGGCAACTGCGCTTGAGAAGCAATCGGGATTAGTTGGAGAACATTTGAGAGAGAATTGAGAGTTTTGGAGGCCACTGGGAGGTTCACGTCGAAGATTTGATGAAGAAACGGCCTTTGGATCGATTAAAGAAGCATCCGGGAGCGAATGCGGAATAAAATAACAAGAAAACGGTTCTGTAGCAATCCGCGCGCCCTGCCGCGGGTGATTCTGAGAGCAAAAACTTGAGGGGTATGAACCGCACTCCCCGCGGTCCAGAAATAGCCCCTAGGAGTACCCGCGCGGTTGGATAGTGCGACGCCCGCACACCGCGCGGGCGGAGCGAAACACGGAGACGGAAATCGGACGCGCGTGACTGCACTGTGACCCGCACTACGTGCGGTCGACCGTGTGGTCGAAATTTTGGCCAGATTTTTGTATTTTCTATACATAGGTCCCTATTTTCCCTATTTTGGAGGATGAGCTTAGAGAGATAAACCCTATTTCGACTTTTGAGAGCTTTTCAAGCCTTGTTCTTCAAGATTAAGAGATTCTTTGTAAGTTCTATCTTTTTAATTAATAACAATTATTTTTATTCTTCCCATATCTATTGATTCTTCAATTATGAATTGTGAGTAGTTTAATTAGGGATTTGGGATTGATGAAGGGGTTGATCATGATGTATGACTAGATTCTTGTAGGTTTAATTGCATCAATGCCGTTTAACTTGTGTATGAATAATTTAATTGATATCTCTTGTAACCTAGATGGCCACTAGAATTACAATTGCATGTAGAATGAATTAAGAAAGATCTAATTTGTTCTAGGACACCTTCACACACACTTAATCGTTCGCTGAGAGTTTAGTAGTGATTAAGGGACCGTAAGCTCGCTCGTTTTGGCAATAATTTAGGATCATGCCACATGAGAGATCAGCCTGGTCCCCTAAATAATTGTACTCTACGCCACGAGAGCGGTAAGAACTTAGTAATGATAAGCTAGGCACAATTAAATTAATTTCATGTACTTAGGCCTGTTTTGCCAGAAATCTGGTTACCCCGAAATCAATCCATGTTCCCTTCGTCGTTAATTAATAAGAAATCAATCTTTATTTAAATTGTCCATTCGCATCAGTTTTATTTTCCAAACCAACCAATCTCGCACAATTGCATTCTATTTTATTTATTTATTTCTTTTTTTTTAAATCGCTGAATTTAGTCAATTCTTGATTCCCTTTTTCCGTCCCTGTGGAGACGATACTCGTACTTTTAACCACTATTCTACATCAATTTTAAGTGCGAGAAAACACACATCACTTGTGACACCGCTCCCGAACGTCCTTGAAAATTCAATTTAAAATTGAATGTTATGTATTGAATTTCCGGTTTATCAAACAATTGTAAAACAATTTATGTTTTACGTAGCGCATTATTGATTATTGTACTGTTCAAACTCGTAAATCGGTGTCGGATTTGCAAATACATATCTGGGACTTATTAATGAATATAAGAGCCCAACATTACCCAAAATAATGATACATAACCTTTCAAGACAAGTTGAGGATGGTCGGGCGGCCCAAACATTATTTTGGGCCCAACCTGCTAAAAATAGCAAGTATTCGAGAATGGCGTCCTAGACCCACTCGGGAGTGACCCACACGGCTAGTAGTCCAATAATATGTATGCCAAATGTCAAAATAAGTGATAGAATGATTAGAGAAGAATACAAATGCCTATAGCCCCATCTTTGACATTATTGAGCTAAATAATGGGAGTAGGATTTTTCCTTCTATAATGTTCATTATGTAATTATTGAGATGAGCCTACACATATTGGAGATCAATAATGTGATGTAGGAAGTTGACTTGTGCTAAATAAATTTAGATGAGTACAAAAAGACATCTTTTAGCAAAAGATAAAACAATAGGACCCATTTTCCCATTTTTGGAAGTATTTGTAGATATTTTGGACCCCAAGTAGAATGGGATCAATTGGGAACCATTCCACATGGACTTGGTACCTGCAAAACAAAGGAAAAGAGGTGAGGTGACTATATGGGGCGGACTCTTGGCTCATATACACAAAAACTCCAAGAGAAAACAAAAGAGGGAGGTCCACCCCATATTTGATTGCAAACAAAATATCTCCCATGTTCTTTTGTGAGCCACATGCTATCTTAGCATGTTTAAGGTCTCCTATACACTCCCCCCTACACCCCATTCGAACCCCCAAAGAGATAAGAGAGCAAAAGTATCCACACAACTCAAAAGAGAAGGAAGGAAGAGAGCAGTCCGCAGGTTCATCTTTCAGTGCGTAGTACTGATTGTTTGATCCATAACTTAAGATTGACTCGTCCAATTTAGGCGTATAAGATACCAAAAGAAAGCTCTCAAGACGAGGAATCCGTGAAGGTCTTGTTTGCATCAATCGGAGTAGTGGAAGGCTTCCAAATCGTCCGAGAAAAACACAACCTCGCAGGAACGAATTTAATCTTCTAAAGTGAGTTTTAACCCCAAAACCTTTCCTTTCATTTTCCAAATGATATGAACGATTGGTGGAACTATTATACAGTACTCCAAGTGTACAATATGTCCTTATAAAGTGATTTTATTGATGTAAAGGTTAGATACTAACCTAGAGCAAATCTTGGAAAAACTAGGAAACGAGTTAGCCGGAAAACACCCATTCTAGGGGCTGTTTTCGTATCAACGTTTAGGGGTTGAAGTAGCACTTTGAGAAGGCTGTTTAACGCTAATTTCTAAGCAAGGAATCAGTTCTCAAGCTTCCTTGGCCGAGTATTTGGTCATTGGATTGAGAAGGAAAGTTTTAAAGCTCATTTGAGGTGAGGACCGACATCTAGTTGCTTACAACTTGTAGGTTATGCATGAGATTACCTAAATGCTTAAATCATGTTTTTGTGAATAAAGATGCTTGAACATGATATGAATGATAAGTAATGAACTTGATCATGAATTGAAACCATATTGATGAATATGGAGTCATATGAGATAGAAGTATGCTAATATGGTAAATTGACCTTCCCAACTCATGTATGAATGTTATGTGTATGTAAATGTATAATTGCATGATGATGCTTAGCACATGGGAGGCTGCCACATATCTATTGATATGGAGGGGCTACCATTAAGAATAAATGAGTTGTAGGAATAATCTTAATAGTATTGTGATGCTAGTTAAGGATTGTTCTAAACGTCGATAGAATCAAACTTAAGGTTTGAGTTTGTTTGAGATGAACTTGAATAAGATTCAAGTGTCAATTGTGATTTCATGGAGTAGGAGATCTATGGTGTGATTGTATGAAGTAGGAGATCTATGGGGTGGATACATGAAGTAGGAGATCTATGATTTGATTACATGAAGTAGGAGATCTATGATGCGAGTGCATGATGATGTACTCGAGCCGAATTCTAGAAATGAGAAGTTATATTAGGGTTGGACCCTATGTATGTCGTGACCATTAGTCACGGGGTTTGGGAAATGTTTTGTAATAAACATGGGCCCTTGAGCAGACTACTTGACTTTATATAAAGTAAGTATATATTTTGAAGGGGTAATTTGGGATTACAGCCTAAACTATATTATCACCTTATTTGAGGGTCTTGTGTGTGAAATACTTGTTGTATATCTATTAGATGCCTGCCACACCAGTACTTTATAGCCGTATAGAGTACTGACCCCTTCGGGGGCGTCCCACCACCATTTCAGGTTGAAGCTAGAGCTTGCATCCTGTGCTCGTTGATTGAGTGATTCCTCGGAGGGAAGACTTGGTTCGTGTTCCTCCATTCCATTTGAAATATTAATAAATTGCTCATGGATATTTTACTTTAGAGCCTGCGTGCTCATGATTTCAAACTATGTTTTCCGCTGCGTACTGAATTGTTTATTATGTATGTTTATGGATGATTTATGTGTGAATGATATTCATGACGCCTTGTATAATATGGATGCGGTTGACTGTGGTTGACTATCCGTGTTGTACGGCGGGTTGTTGACGTGTCCGGGTAGGTCCGGGGTGTGACAATTTAATTGGTATCAGAGCCTTAGTCCATAAACTTCATAATGAAGTCTCAAAATTCTCTTTTCAAAATGATTTTGAAAACCATGAGCATAAATGTTTTGTACTTGTAGAGCTTTTGGTACTTGAGTTGCAAGGTCTCTATTTGTTAAGATGGTACCCTTATCAATTGGTATGGCATCAATTTGAGCCAAGTAGTGTCTCAAGTACCGCTCTGTCAATTGACATTTGATACGAGTCTAACGACTCTTTCCAAATTTCTTTCAGAAATGGACCGTGGTGGCAAGGTTACTTGGAGAAACCCAACGGGCCGTGCACCGGTGGAGACCGGGCAGGGCAGCCGTAGGACCTCTAGGGCATCTAGAGGAGCGGGCCGTGGGGTCCGATCGCAGACCGTGAGCGACGGTCATGTGGGCACTGAGAACGAGAGCTACTGGTCCTATGAGGACTCGACCTATCAACCGGAAACCGAGCCGGTTGAGACCCCTTATGAAGGGGATGATGATGATGTAAGTGATGAAGAGGAGGAAAATGGCTCCTTGGCAAGAATTGAGGCGCTGCTCCAACAGTACCACCGAGAGCGTGAGGAGAGGAGGGAACGCCGAAGGCACCGAACAGGGCAACCTTCAGGCATGGCTTCGAGAGGAGGAAGCCATGGTGATTCTAGAGCCCAAGATGAACCACATGGGGGCCATGGTGATGGAGGTCCAACCATAAGGATCTCAAAATTCATCAAAGAAGCAAGAGATTTGGGGTGCAAACCGTTCGATGGAACGGGGGACATTTCAGTTGCCGCACAATGGATCAAGAGGCTAAATGAAGCAACCCTTGACATGCAAATCACGCCCAATCTTAAACTGAGAATTGCGGTAAGATTCGTATGGTTCACATGCTCTGGGAATGTCTCTGTGTCAAAAACACTCTTGCAAAACTCCACGATATCTGGACCCACAACGTCCCAAAAATGCTGGTAAAAGCCAGGACTCATACCGTCAGGTCCAGGGGATTTATCAAGAAACATTGCAAAAAGGGCTGACTTCACTTCCTCTCCTAAAATGGGGCGTAGAAGATTAAAATTATGGGAGTCGTCAAGTTTTTTCCCCACACAATCATACACGAAAGTGCCATCACCCTGCAAAGAAGAAAATATATTAACAAAATAATCATTAATAATTCTACTAACTCCCTCCCGGTCTTTCTCCCACCAAATTTTGAGGGTCGGGCCTAAGAATAACTCAACGGTACGTCTTCTCAATTGTAAGAGAACATATATGAGGATATATGACATTATGATATTCGGGCTCGGCTTGACTCAATAACAACCTTATGTTGAAGTGAAACGAAGGTAGAGAGATTGTTTTGACGTTGATATAAATGGAATGAGCTGTTGTCACACTCGACGAAATGAGCAGGAAATTCTTTCTTAGTAAACTAGTGTTATTACCTAGGACAATTTACAAAGAAATTGTGTGTAAAAGATATGACGAGTACACTACAAAAAACGGCATTTGTCACGGATTTGATCCTTGACAGGTTTGTCACGGATTTATCTCCCATGTCACCAAAAACCTTTGTCACAGACAAAATCCGTGACAAAGCTTTGTCACAGACGTTTTCTGTGACAACACGGCTCCGGTGACCGGAAACTTATGCCGGCGTAATTTTTTTATTCCGGCGTTTTGTCACGGGCCAAATCCGTGACAAATTTATTATTATTTTTTCGTTTGTCACAGACGGATCCGTGACAAAGCCCAATAATTGCTATTTCGTTCCAACGGTCACCGAATTAATGTTGTACGGATAGAGGTTGTCACGGAAAAATTCTGTGACATAGTGTTTGATATGTGCAAGAACAGTTTCATTCGACTCATACCGGTTGAAATTCAATCGGAGTATAATACAACATCTGTTGAAAGATTGAAGGATGTAATCTTATGTCATTTTCCCTGCCTATGCAGATAAAATATGTCATTTGAATTATGTATCTTTTTTAATGCTACATGAAAAAAATCGTTTTAAATAATTAAAATTGTTAATGATATTGTTAATTGATTAACAATATATTTAACTTCAAATGTTAGTGATGTTACAATTTATTGTGCATATATTTGAAATTCGTTTGGAAATGTATATTATGTTTTCAATTATCGGCAATACCGTTAATTTAGGATTTCAATTGATAATATTAGTTAAATTTAATTATTATTTAATTCAAGTTGGTTTATTAAAATATTAGCTTTGCTTATGCCTTTTAGTCAAAAACCTATTATAGTTTTAAGTAGTAACAATAGTAATTCAATTAAAATGCCTTTCACATTTTTAGTTAATTAAAATATTTATTTGAAATTCGTTTAAAAATATATACTAAATTTTAGCAATTATTGTTAATGCCTTTAATTTAGGATTTATAATGATTTAAGTTAGTATTTAAACATTACTTTAGTGTGAATTTTTAGGTCATCAATGAATTATTATTGTGAATTATTTGAATTTCATTTAATTAGATGTTAGTTAATTTATTGTGTATTATTAGATTTTCAAAATCTTAGTATTGTGAATTAATGCCATTAACGTACGTAATGATTTAGTGTTAAACATCTTAGTATCGTGAATTATTATAATTCAAAAGTTAGTCAATCGAAATGATTAATGCCATTAACATATTGATTTTAGTTAATTAATAATATTAATTGAACGTTAGCTAATTTTAGTGAACTCTAGTAAATTTAATATATTGATGTTCCTACATATTAATTAGTGAAATATATTAAACACAACTAATTATTATTAATGTTTATAATTTATAGTTTTTAACCAATATAATATTTTGATTATAATATTCAGAAATAATGTATAAACAAAATAGAAGTTGGATGTATGATAAACATGGAGAAAAGAGAGGAATGCGAGACGAATTTATTATAGGAAATCAAGAGTTTAGTCATATTTGTATATGATTTAAGTCTTTAATCCTATTTGTACTTTTAGGCAAACTTTAGTCCTATTTAGGACAATTTTTAAACATTTCATTCTAGGTATATGTACCTTTATTTATTGCATCTATTATATTATCTAAAACATCATATGATTTGATAGCATGATCGATTAGTTATTCATAGTTTTAAGAAAATAGATAATTTCCTTTCCTAATTCATCTAAATAGGACTTGACGATGGTCAAAAATCACAAATAGAACTACATTGTTTTAAATCCCCCCATTAAGATTATTTATGTGTAATTGACAAATATACCTTTGTAGCTTTTGAAATGTTTTAATTCATAATAAAATCATAAAAAGTAATAAAAAATCAAAAACAAATAATATAAAATTAATAAATTATTTATAATTTTTTTAAAAAGAAATTTAGAAAACAAAATTAAAACATAAAAAATTCACCGCCGCCTCCGCCACCCCCAGCAACACCAGCTCCGGTCACCGGAGAAAAAACGGTGCCTATAATTATATTGATTTTATCTTGATAGGTTTTATAGCATTATTTTGAACAGTGAAATATTACAATAAGAATGTTATGACGTTGTTTATCATACATAGCTAGTGTCATGGAATTACAATGACATATCTTGACACAATGACAATGTCATAAAAATGTCAATGTATAAAAATGTCACCTGGTTAAGAAAATGTCACAGTAGCAATGTCATTGTCGATGCTATAAAGTGACAATGTCAATAGCTATTATGACAATGTTAATTTTATTAAAAAAAGTCACAACGTCGATAAAATGTTGTAATGTCAATTAATCACGACGACAATGTTATAAAAATGTCAATGACAATGTCATATGAATGTCAATGACAATGTCATAAGAATGTCAATCATAATGAAAATGACATTTTTAAAACCAATGCCTATAATTTTTAGTGAAAATGACAATGTCCAACTACTTAAGCATTATATCAAACATATTAAATGCAAAACAGATCAACAATCAAACATCAGTGTACAATTGAATCAATAAATTATCAAAGTAAAAGAAGGCAATAGATCAATGAAAACCACCAAATCCGGCTTACACTGGTAATCTAATTTCAAGCATGTTTTAAGTTACATCTTTCAAAAATTGTTTTCTCCAATCAAATATGGAACCTAATGAAAACGAGAAAAATTTAAAGGAAGATTGAAGCAATATATAGGGGAAACTGTCAAATAAGTCCCCCTACTAATTCAAAAAAGTCAATTGGCCCCCTGAACTAAAACAACCTCCAATCAAACCCACAAACCCATATAAAATTGTCAAATTAGCTTTTTGACCTGTAAATTTCCGGTTTCCCGGTGAACCATGTCAATGTGGATTTTATTTTTTTTTTTGTTTTTTTTTGTTTCCTGTTCTGTTTTCTTTCTTTCTCTGTCTTTCTTTTTGCCTTTCTTTTCTCCGTCTCTTTGACTTCAATTCGCCATTGATGAAGACAGCTGGTAACTAGCGGTTATGAGGATGGCACCGGCCGATGACCGAGAAAATACATGCCCCTTCCGTCCAACACACAGCTCCCCTTCACAACCACCCCATCGACCTCCGGCGTCAGTTCCTTTCTTTCTTTGTCTCTTTCTCTTTCCCCGGCGCGGCCCATTCACGAAGGCCATCGACGAGCAGCGGCGTCTTAAGATGGCATCGGTAAATGGCATCGGCAAATGGCATCGGCTAGTGGCGGACCAGATCTCTGCCTTGTCGTTTAGTTTTATCGCACAACTCCCCTTCGCAACCACCCCTCTCTCGCGGCAGAACACACAATTCCCCTTCGCACCATACACAAATCGATGTGAGCGATTCACCGGCTTCGTGACAGAACACGAGCTCGTCTGCAACGCCGGCGAGCTGTAGAGGCAAGAGAGTGGAGGTGTGGACCTACGAGGAAGAAAGCACACTTGCTGACCTGTTGCTTGTGATTAGCGTATGGGAAGAGAACCAAAAAGATAAGTGCTGGGAAAGAATAGGGAAAGAAAAAGGGATAAGATAAAATTAAAAGCCAACTCATATACCACGTAAGCATTCACCTTGAATTGGAAGGTTACCGGCCAAATAGGCCAAATTGACAATTTTTTATGTGTTTGTGGGTTTGATTGGGTGTTGTTTTTGTTTAGGGGCTCAATTGATTTTTATGTAGTAGTAGGGGGCTTATTTGACAGTTTTCTCCAATATATATGATAAAAATCAGCAAATTCAAATGGAAAATAAGAAAGGAAAGAAACCCTTAGCTTTCAATGTCGTGTGGTTATCTAATAGGGCTTCAAAAAATGAGCAGAACTCGAACTATCCTAATGTGAGATAGAATGAAGTATAACAAAGAGAGAAACAATAGATTTAAGGAAACCACAAATAGAAATTGGAAATTGAAAACAATTGGAATCGAAAATACCATGAAGACATCTGAACTACGATGAACTTTGATGATTTCTGAACTGGTACAGAGGGAGATTTATGTACGGATAAAATTTTAATGAAGGCTTCTAAAACTCGGATGCTCTCTGGTGATATGACATTCAGATTCCAGAAGAAGATTTAATGCTTATTTAAAATATTCACATTAAAAAAATCAAGGGAAAGAGCATGATTATGAATACCTTTAAAATTATTAAAGTATTCTATTATGTTCTGAGTCTTCTGACGAATACTTTTAAGTCTATTTATGTGGAGCTCTGAACTAAAAGTATCAATATACACTAATTATATTGAACATGTAGGTTTAATATAACAATAGACCATTTTAGGTCTAAATATACTTTTAGTCCACAGTTCCAATTGCAAGAAACAATAAATAATTGTTGTTTCTGCATAATACAGTTAAAAAGTACTCCGTATTAAAGTATTCTGTTCTGACGAATACTCACTTTGAAACTTCCAAGTGAGTATGTGAAAAGTTTTAACATACTCAGTAATATTTATGTACTTCTAAGTCTGATTCTTTAACTTTTTATTTTAAAAGTGCAAATTTGTATTTGATTTTAAACACAACAAAAGTTAAATTTGAGTTTTAATTTAAAAACCAAACCATCAGAGTTAGTCTTTAAACGATTGTTCAAAACTAAGATGATCTAGATGATTAACCCCATGACAAAAGGACAATCAGAAATTTTGATTTAAACAAACTCAATGTTTAAATATGCTAGGAAAACCCCCTGTTTCTTATGATGGGGTTTAAAAAAGCTTAAAACAACATAACTTTAGCTTATAAAGATTGTTAAAATCCAAGAAGGCATCATTACAACCCCTCTGACAAAGAGCAAAAATTCAGGCATGGTTTAAGTAGTGAAAGCTGCACTTTAATTTTCAATACTTATAATCTTAGTGTTTCCATATCATAGCCCAAAAAGAAAGAAAAGATTGCATTTATCTAAAGAATGACCATGTTCCCCTTTCCAACACTGCTCCAAATTCGTTTAAGGCTATGAGCGCGATAAGTTTTACTGATATAATAGCCTTCATTTATTCTCTCGAATATACCCTAATGAAGTTAAGAAAATGGTAAATGAAAATGAAAAATGAAAATGAAATGAGCTTTGCTAAATGCTCAATCCAATCTAACTGTAACATCATTTTAAAAAAGAATTGTTGAGCAAAACAAATTAGTTAGACTAAAAGGCTTGATAAAAATAAGAGCAAAGAGAAACCGCATGTTTCATGATGAGATACCCATCTTAAAGAAAACTACTGGGGTTACATTCCTATTTTCTGTAACCCTATAATCATCTTAGCAATATGAATTGACTTGAGCTAGAGTTTTTTGCTGAGATGCTGCTCTTATTTGGAATTGTAGATGACCTAAAAAGAAAGACTTCTTATTAAATAAAAGCAAAATTTGATTCAACAGTATTTCTTGGTTAGGTTTTAACATTGTGTGAATGATTTAAAAATGAGTGGATTCAATTTAACTGTGGTGTAGACTAAAAGTTAGCATAGTCAAAAGAACAAAGCAAACTTGTTTAGGTCTAGCTACTTTAGTAGGTTTGAGAATCAATATCAATATGTATCAAATCAACCCCAATGAAACATGTTTCAATGCAATCCCTCTAAAATAATGGTGATCTATTTACCTTTGAGAAAAAGCTTAACATACCGAGTTCCATTCTCCCTGGTTTTAGACTGACATGGAGCACCAATGGATTAGAGATCACAATTTAATAAATAAAAACGTTATATTAGTTTAAGAAACTTATTTAATCATAATTTACCTTTGTGCTAGTGAGCTAAGGTTGCAATAGCACTTATGTTATATGTGTTCCTGAGAAACGACATAAAGCCAATCTCGTTTACCTGTAACTAAGCGATTTGCAAATTGGTGTTTAACCTAAAAGTGGCAAAAGATGCATAGTAGAAACTGTTTTTCCTGCAATGATTGAATGACAAACTGAATATTTCAATAAAATGATTACAAATAGATCTTTCTGTCAACACCAATGTTTTAGAAACATAACCTTCCCTAAAAAATACTTGAGTCATAATCAACAAAGAGGCTAAGGATGATAGTAAAACATAACCTGCCCTAAATAGTACTTGAGTCATAAACAACAACCATACATCAGTAGAAGGAAACAAACAGATTAAACATGGCAATAAAACATATTCAATAGTGCTCTTATAATCAAGCACCAACATTATACTTGAGGCATTTTCAACACCCACTTGTCAATGGGGGGAATATTCGATGCACTAAAAATGCCATTTCAATCTTGAAGGTGAGAGGAAAGAAGCAAGAAGATAGGAGGATTATAAGACGGCAATTGGTATAAAAAGATAAGGTTTTGTAATTGAAATAAATTCATGGCTTCCCCAATTGGTATGAGCTCACAAAATCGAATCATAGGACGCTCATGTAATTCATGAAGAGAAAGTAATGAAGTGACGAAAAACAAAAATGAATCATTCAAACAACTAATATATGCAGATAAAGATGCATGAAGAAAACGAATAGATGAGGAAAGGAAGGAATTTGATGATGCCGTGAGATGCCGATCTAGCTTCTGAATCTCGCCTTTTTATATTTTTCGTTGCTGATATTAAGAGGAAGGTGCGATGAGGGAGAGAAGTGAGAAAGAAGAAAGATCTGAGAAATCGCCTATTCTCTGTTTGTTGTTGTTAAGATTGAGAGGAAGGTGCGAGTTTCCGAGGTGCTCGACTCCGGTGGATTGTGAGATAGAGAACTGAGAAAGGAGAAATGCAAATGTAGTATTGCAGTGATATCAGCGGCAGATCTAATACTTGATCGTGCGGCTTCAATGAGTCATCTAGCTGAGCGGGAAAATGAAAAGGGTGAAAGTAGTGCAATTATGTAGGATTATTATTATTATTATTATTATTATTATTATTATTATTATTATTATTATTATTATTATTATTATTATTATTATTATTATTATTATTATTATTATTATTATTATTATTATTATTATTATTATTATTATTATTATTATTATTATTATTATTATTATTATTATTATTATTATTATTATTATTATTATTATTATTATTATTATCATTATTATTATCATTATTATTATCATCATTATTATTATCATCATTATTATCATCATGATCATCATCATCATCATGATCATCATCATCATCATCATCATCATCATTATCATCATCATTATTATCATCATTATTATCATCATTATTATCATCATTATTATTATCATTATTATTATCATTATTATTATCATTATCATCATCATCATCATCATCATCATCATCATCATCATCATCATCATCATCATCATCATCATCATTATCATCATTATCATTATCATTATTATTATTATTATTATTATTATTAATAATAGTAATATTATTATTATTATTATTATTATTATTATTATTATTATTATTATTATTATTTTGTTATGATTTTATTTTGAATTAAAACATTTCATTATGGATTAATACCCTTAGATGTATTTAGGGTAGAAAATCAATGTTTAGTCCTATTTGTGAATGATTTAAGGCTTTAATCCTATTTGTGCTTTTTAGACAAACTTTAATCCTATTTAGAACAATTTCTAAACATCCTAAGTATCAAGTATTTACCTTTATTGCTTCAATTATATTATCCAAAACATCATATGGTTTGATAGTATGATAATTAGTTATTCATAGTTTTTAGCAAATAGATGATTTCTTTTCCTAATTCATGTATCTATTTGCTTCTTGACCACTCGTGCATCCTTAGATGATTTAAAATCTCCGCTTAGCATATTCAGAAACACACCTAGTATAGTTCCATTTTTAATATTATCAACTAAATAAAGTTTTTGTTCCATTCTAAATAGAATATGGACATAATTCTCACAATGCGTGTTGCATGGTATTGAGGTGTTAAGTTTTGAAGGGGAGGAGAAAGAATAATGAAGGATTTATGATCATCTTTATTTTGATTATTAGGAGCTTAAAAAGGAATGTAATGTTTTTGTATCCGTTCATAATCATTCAAATATATGTTAGAGCATCTTCAATGGTACAATGTGTACGGTCCACACGTGGCATGAGAGATGACCACATAAATATTAGTAAATAAATTATTTCTCTCCTTATTTGAATGATTTTATACAGTTTTGGTAAGTTTTTCTGCACAATGTCAAGGAGACCGTCTAATGTTGACATTGTTGTTGACATTGCAGGGAAAAACTTACCAAAATTGTATAAAATCATTCAAATAAGGAGAGAAATAATTTATTTGCTAATAATTATGTGGCTATCACTCATGCCACATGTGCACCGTGGACATTATAGCATTGGAGATGCTCTTATCGAATTCTTAAATTCCCATAAATTGGTTTTAAAAGATAGCTAATTAAATGACTATTTAATCCAATTCATAATGAATATATCTTCAACTATTTGAATATATCATACATATAAGGCAGTTTCAATTATAATTCATTAATAAGAGATGTCTTCCAGATTGGTAACTCTCAAACTTGAAGGATATTTTCCACTTTTCCCTCCCACTCATTTGCGGCTAATGATCGGGCTAAACTTGCAAGTATACAAGTGCCGAATTGTAATAAATTCCGGTAAAATACCGGGTCGATCCACAGGGAAATGGTTGATATTATAAAGTTGAGTATCGAATGTAAAAGAATATAAATGGTATAATTTTCAGGAACTTTGCTCTTGAGATTGGTTTAAACAATAATGAGAATTACTAATATATGAATAATAGTTACGGAGTATTTAATAATAGTTCTTTGTCAATAATTATGAATACGATCTCGCTAATATATTCTCAACTCTGATTAAGGCAGTGAGAGCGTGGTTTTCGTTACGTGTAAGTCCCGTTACGGCTTACATTCATCTACCAAAAACCCCGTTGAATATCAAGACATCACACCCGTATCATATAAGACCGGATATATTTCTATTCTCGGTACTATATCTGTTTATCCTTTAATGTTCATAGTTTAGACTTCAACGTTAATTGCAAGCATAAACTAAATTTAACATACTTCTATGTTGTTACACCATAGTCATAAACAATCAAAATATAAAGGATAAATCACAATTTATTGGTTTAGAACTTTTATCAAACACCTAGTGGGCATAGAGGTAAGAAATTAGCCTCTAATACTCATATTAATCACAATACAATATTTAAATGTAATGGAACATGAAATTACAAAGGAAATAATACCTAAACACCAATAATTTCGGAGGTTAAAGTTTCCTCCTCAAGAACTTAAAGAAAAATAGCAAGAACAAATTATAAAAACTAGGAATTAATCTATGGAATGGAATGTGTTTGCTTGATGAATTGAGGGCTTTATATAGGCTAAAGAATGATATCTTTTAAGATATTCAAGCCCAACAATAATGTATGGAGGCAATATTTGATCAACAATGAGGAAGATGAAGTTTTCCCATCAAGAAATGGCTTGCACGTCGGACTGTTTTGTGCATAAATCAGCCCAACCGGCGCCGGTTTTGTCCCGACCGGCGCCAGTTCAAAACATGCCCTATTATGCTCGAAAAATACCAACTGACCGGCCGCGGTTGTGGGCTGACCGGCGCCGGTTGCTGCGCCAAAAAGTGTACTCTCTTTTCTTTCTCTTTTATGGATCAAAAAGTGTTGGTTTTTGTCCCGGGATTTTGGGGATGTTCCGCTGTGAATTTGGACATGATTCCTTCATCAAAGTTGTAGATAATGAAGTCTTATATCCACCAAAACTTGAATGACGTGATTTTATTCATCCAATAAAAAGATATGAATAAAACACGGAGAGGTATGCATCCTGAAATCCCACCAGCAACATCTGACTTTATTGGTTGATTGAGTCTTGTTTCTTTCATATTTTGACCATGACGTCTTCATAACATTTGTACCTTATTGAGTTAACATTCAAATGAAACTCGAATCGAGTGATTTCAATTTCTCTACAATAAGTTATACTCAAATTACGGGCAGAACGTCATCTTCTTGGTCTCAAAAACCGTTCATCACAATGTTTTATGCTTTAACTCTCGTTCTGAAGGTATTTGTCCGATTTCTCTTCTTTTCTTCAACAAATACTTATAAATACTTATGTTAAACACAAGTATCAGCTAACTCTCAAATCCTTCTCTTTCAATTTCCTCAAAAAATATCCCAAACATACTCTTAGGTTGTTTCCCGGTGGAGACATAAGGGGCGCAGAGTGAAGGGAGGCTCTGTCTCATCTCAAATATAATCTATTTTAAATTATTAGGGCAAAAGAAGTCGTGTCAAAAAAAATCTTTGTACTTATCAAGTCTAATGTACCGTTTTGAAAGTCGTAACACATCTGATCTAAATAAGAAAAAGTAAGTATGCATAAACATTTTTTATACATTCTGTAGCTATGTCTACAACAAATTTAATTACTAATTAGTTCCACCCTGTCAATCCGAGAGTAATTTACGATTCATACAACGGCCTTTTCCCCTTTCTAGGGGTTTCTTCTGCCGATCAAGTGCGGCTCACTTCTTTGGACGTCGTGCAGCGCCCTATGGCAGATAGGCGATGAGGTAGGTCCGGCGCAAGACGGTTTGGAAAAGTTGATCGGGCAGTGCGATGGTTGGGAGTTCAGGACCGAGGATGACAATCTGGTACTCGATGAGGAGGATGATGTGGGCCATATGCCCATATGGAGATGAGTAACAGAGTCTAGAGTTTGAAAGAAGATGAGTCAACGCTCAACTCTGTTTTTAGCGTGTTTTTATTTTCTAGCAGAACTCTAGAAATTAGGACATGTGATGAAAAGTCTTGTTTGTCAGTTAGTCATTGACTCAGTTAAGCCCATTTTTTTTAAAAAAAATAATCTGCTTACATTATGTTATCTTAATATAAGCCATTTTCGTGCAAAAAAGAGTCTAATATACCCTTTGGCTACACCTGCGTACGCAATCTGTGAATGCATAACCACACGTTAAGGAAGTCAAACCCCCAAATTTAGGCCAATTTTATAACTTTACAATCTAATCAGCACAAAATAAAGAGTCTTGGGAGATTTTAAAAGTATACGACAATCGCAGCCATTTTTGAAATTACAAGACAGTTTTTTCTTCTAGTCTAGATTAAATTACGAGTAAGGAAAAAAAGTTCCTTTTCGTCATTGATAGACAAGGGAAACACATAACCGTGCAAATCACGTTCCAAGCTTTTGGAAATTGTTTAACGAACTGCCCTCTTTGGTTCGGTCAACGTTATGAGAAATAAGAAAAGAATCAGGAGGATTAATTTTGGTAGACGGAGTAACGAAAACGGCAACGCTGGGAACATTCATACCATAATTAAGGATGAAAGATTACTCTGTTTGGCCATAACTGGCGGAATTGATTGAATGGCGCCTTAGCTTTTTTAATACCCCAGTTTTTAGTACTGCTTGGTGCTATATAAGCCAATCCTGGAAAACTCCAAAAAAACGCAGCTTGATTCGATGAAGAAGTCTCGTCTTTCATCATTCCGGCTCTTCCAACTTCTTCTTCTTCTTGCTCCTCTCTGCTGTACTAATGTCAAAGCCTCTGCGATGGAGTCACCAACGACCAAATTCGTCCGCTGCCTCGCTGCTGCACTGCCAAATGCCACTCTCTCTGATATTATGTATCAGCAAAACAATCCCAAATTCACATCCGTTTTAGATGCCTATGTGAGGAATCTCCGGTACAACACCTCCAAAACTCCTGAACCGGCCATCATCGTGACCCCATTGACGGAAGACCAAGTCCCGGCGGTGGTTGTGTGCGCGAAGGATGCCGGAATCGAGATCAGAATCCGGAGCGGCGGACATGACTACGAGGGGGTCTCTTATGTCTCCAGCACTCCCACCTTTATGATTCTCGACATGTTCAATCTCCGGTCAGTCGACGTCACTATTGACAACAAGGGAGCGGGGTCGGCGTGGGTAAGAGCCGGAGCCATCCTCGGGGAGGTTTACCACGGGATCTACAAGAAGAGCTCCGTTCACGGATTCCCCGCCGGTGTCTGCCCGACCGTGGCCGTCGGCGGGCACCTGAGCGGCGCCGGGTACGGGAACATGCTCCGGCAGTACGGGGTGTCGGTTGACCACGTGGTGGACGCGCGCATAGTCAACGCGAGAGGGGAGATTCTGGACCGGGCAGGCATGGGGGAGGATCTGTTCTGGGCCATCCGCGGCGGCGGCGGCGCGAGTTTCGGAGTGATCCTGGCGTACAAAATCAACCTGGTTCCCGTGCCGGAGAAGGTGACGTATTTCCGGGTGGAGAAGATGGTGGAGGAAAACGGGACGGCCGTGGTGATGGAGTTCCAGAAGGCGGTGAGCAGCATGGACAGCCGGCTCTTCGTCCGCCTCCTGGTGCAGCCGAGCAAGGCGGCGGGGGGCCAGAAGACGGTCAAAATCACGGCCATCGCGCTGTTCCTGGGGAGCACCGGCGAGCTGGTAAGGGAGGCGAACAAGGAATTGCCGTCTCTGGGACTGAAGGACACGGACTGCGCGGAAATGAGCTGGATCGAGTCGGTTCTGGAATGGGCGAATTACGACCACAATACCACAAAACCGGAGCAGCTGCTGAGCCGAGAGGGGAAGGACCCAATAAAGTTCGGGAAGAGGAAATCCGATTACGTGGAGGCGGAGATACCCGAAGCGGGCCTGTGGAAGCTGTGGGGGAAAGTGAAGGAGGGAAAGGTGGGGATGGTGTTCAACTCCTACGGCGGGAAGCTGCCGAATATCACAGCAGACAACGCAACGGCGTTCCCTCACCGGTCCGGGATTCTGTTCAAAATCCAATACTCCGTGTCCTGGGAGGACGACACCGACACGGTGACGAACCTGAAGCAAGCCAAGGATTTGTACGAGTTCATGACCCCATACGTGAGCTCCATGCCCAGACGGGCGTACCTCAACTACAGAGATCTGGACATCGGCACCAACGAGGAGCACAAATCCGATGTGTTCGGCCCCATGTACTTTCGTGACAACTTCAAGAGGCTGGTCCAGATCAAGAATCAGGTCGACCCTGATAATTATTTCAAATATGAACAGAGCATCCCCATCTACTGAGTCAGAATCCATACCTCCATTATAAGTATTGCGCAATCACCTTCTTCTCGATCGTTTATCCTAGCTCCTCCCCCACGATTCTTATATGGGATTGGATACCGGCCATTTCCCCATGCTTGCTTGCTATATTTTATACTGATGTATGTTGTATTTCTACACCTAATGACGCTATCATACTCCAACGTTACCACACCCTTCAATACAAATGCTTTTTTCTATTGTTATAAAATGTGCTTCATTCTAACGGTTGAATATCTACACACAACACACACGTGACAAATACAAATGTCCAAGTGTAATCTTGTTTGTTTATTGATACGGATGATATATGTTTGGTTAAATTGTTCTTTTAGTTAAATTGTGTAAAAAAAATTGTATTTGTACTATATATACTCTTACAGTTTTATGCAATTAAACTAACACTCCTTATTACATGTCATTGGATTTAGAAAAATAATTTAGTAATTCGTGCTAATGGGAATCAAATTTCAAATGTCTACAACACTTAGAACATGTTTACTTCACGGGTTACTAAACGGTGCTTATTATGATCCGCGTTAATAAGCGGCGCATAAAATAAGCAATGTTGTAAGATCATGCTTACTTCAAAGGGTTTAAAACACCGTTTAACATTAAAATGTCCAAAATAACCCTATACATATATATACACAAACATTCATGAACACGAGTATATAATATAATATGTGGGGTCACCTCGTGCGTGTACCCATACCCCTAACCTACCCCCCCGCTTTATACCTCGTACCCTCGAACTCTACCCTGTCCCACTTCCACACCCCTACCCTTACTAGGACGTTACCCTCTACCCCTACTCCATACCCACCCCATACCCCTACCCTCGTAGGGGGTGAGGTCGGGGTAGGGTCGAGGTTGGGTAAGAGGGTACGAGTGGGGTAGGGGTAGGATTATGTTGATGGTAGGGTGGTTAATGGTTAGGGTGAGTGTGATGGGGTAGAGTGGGCTCGAGGCAGGGGAAGGTGGTAGGGGTAAAGGGGTAGGGGTCGGGGTAGGGAAAGTACATGCGGGGTGGGGGCAACCTCAGGGTGGGGTGGGGGGTTGGATGGTGGTAGGGTGGGGGGGGTCAGGGTGGGGTCAAGGTAGGGGCAAGTGGTAGGGGTGGGGTGGGGTCTTGGTTAGGGGTAAGGGTGGGGTATGGGTAGGGTGGGGTCGGGGTAATGTAGGGTAGGGTAAGTGGGTGGTGGGGGGTAGGATGACAGTAGGTCAGGATCGAGGTGGGGCGAGGTAGGGGCAATTGGTAAGGGATAAGGGTGTGTGGGGTGGGGTAGGGACCTGGTAAGGGATAAGGGTGTGGGTAGGGTGGGGTCCAGGGTAGGATAAGGGGTAGGGTGGGGTCCAGGGTAGGATAAGGGGTAGGGTGGGGCCGAAATAGGGGCATGTGGTAGGGGCAGGGGTTGGGGGTAGGATGGCGGTAAGGTGGGGTCGGGGTGGGGCCGAGGTATGGGGCATGTGGAAGGGGGGTAAGGTAGGGTAAAGTGGAGGGTGGGGTAGGGTAAGGTGGGTCGCGGTGGTAGTAGGATGGCGGTAGGGTGAGGTTGGGATCAGGGTGGGGCTGAGGAAGGGCATGTGGTAAGGAGTTGGGGTGGGGTTGTTGTAGGGGAAAGGGGTACGCGGGGTGAGTGGGGGTAATGGTCAGGGGTAGGGTAAGGGTAAGGGGTAAGAAACGAGGATGGAGGTAGTGGGTAGGGTGGGGTCAGGGTAGTAGGGTAGGGTGGGGTGGGTAGCGGGCAGAGGGGTAATAATAGGGTAGGGCAAGGGATAAAGGTAAGGGCAATTCAGAAACTGAAAAAGCTTAAAGTGTCGCTTAATTAATACATGAGGGGTGGTATGCTTAGTAAGTGGCACTTTAAGCACTTCTTTCAGTTAGTAAGCAACTTTTTAAGCAGCATGCATGTTGATTTCGTCTGTCTTACTAACCTAACTCTGACTTTAGCAGCGAAGTAAACGCCTCCTTAGTCACTTACACGTTCGACCATCCATTTTATTTTTTTGCAAACACCCCTTTATATACACACCTGCTCTCTTTTTGCACTACCTTCGTTCTCTTTTTGCATAACGTGTCATTGGATTTAGAATGAGTCGTCTGAAGAACACTCATTCTAAGGACACTAGGCAAGCTCTCTTAACCTTCCAACCTATCACTGGTGCTAGTCGTAGTGAAGAACCTGCTGGGCTTTTAGGTAGCTGGGTGTTTGACCAAAATGCAATTAGAAGAGCTCTTACAGAAATGCATATAATTGATGGGCTTCCTTTTAGGTTTGTTGAGAGACAGGGTTTTAAAAAGTTTATGTACATAGCTTGCCCTAGATTTAAGATCCCATCTAGGTGGACCATTGCAAAAGACATTTACCAAATCTACTTAGATGAAAAGATAAATTTAAAAAAGTTGTTTAGGGAGATGACATAGAGGGTAAGTATTACCACTGACACATGGACCTCTGTACAGATGATCAACCACATGTGTATTACTGCTCATTACATAGACCACAAGTGGAAGCTTCAGAAAAAGATTATTTCCTTTGTCCAAGTTACTTCTCACAAAGGGGAGTACATTGCTAAGGCTCTTGAGAACTGTTTATTAGAGTGGGGGCAAAAAAACATCTTCTCTATCACTGTTGATAATGCAAGCAGTAATGATACAACAATAGGGTTCTTCAAGAAAAAGCTTGCTTCTAGGGGTGCTTCTCCTGTTAAACTGAAGTATCTCCACATGAGATGTATTACCCACATTTTTAACCTAGCAGTTCAAGATGGCCTAAAGCAATCTGACACTGCTGTGTCTAGGGTTAGGGAAGCAGTTAAGTATGTTCGCAATTCTCCTGCTAGGCTTCAAAAGTTTAAGGATATATCTGACTTAATTGGGGTGGAAGCTAAGTGTGGATTACCCCTTGATGTTCCAACTAGGTGGAATTCCACATACTTAATGCTAAAGTCAGCCTTATATAATGAGAAAGTGTTTGAAGCCTATGAGGAGAATGAATCAAGTTATTTTGTTGATTTGGGTGTAGACGTTAAAGATGTTAAGGATTGGATTTCTTGCGAGTCAATGGTGACAGTTCAGCAAAATTTTTATGATATGACACTTAGAATTTCAGGGTCTCTCTTTGTTACTTCTAATACTTTCTTCTCAGAAGTGTCTGATCTGTTTCTGGTCCTTCAAGACTTGATCAAGTCAGATAAACCTTCTACAAGCAGCATGGGAAGTACTATGAAATCCAAATTGGATATGTATTGGGGTGATCCTGAAAAGATGAACTATCTGATATTCTTTGCAAATGTTCTAGATCCTATGGACAAGTTTGAATACATGCCCTTTCAATTCAATGCTTTGGATACTAATAAAAAAGGGTGAGATATTCTTTGCAAGTATCAAACTTCCTCTGTCTGAATTGTTTGTTGATTATGTCAATAGTTACACAGAAAGTGTTGGTGGAAGCTCAGAATCAAGCTCAACTCCTGCTACTTTACTGATCTGTAAGGCTGAGTCTGCCAGACCAGTCTCCCAATTCAAAGCACAATTGAAAAAACAGAAACTAGAGAGTGGGCAGTTGGGCTTGAAAAAAAAATGAGTTGGAAATTTATTTGAGTGAGGCTATACTTGAGGAAGATAAAGAGTTTCATATCTTAAGATGGTGGAAATTAAATAGTTAGAGATTCCCTATATTGTCTAAAATGGTAGAGATATTCTTGCTGTTCCAATCTCCACACAGTTGCTTCTGAATCCACTTTCAGTACTAGTGGTAGAGATTTTAGATTGTTTTAGAAGCTCTTTGACTCCTAAAATTGTGGAAGCCTTAATTTGTACTCAATATTGGTTGAGAATGCACAACCAGCCTCTATCAATTGAGGAAAATATTGATGAAGTTGAGAGGCTGGAAACAGGTTAGGTTGATTTTATTTATACTTCTTAAATTAAAGTTTATAATTGTTTATGTGTAAATGTGACATTGTTTCTTTTTCTTTTTCAGAGTTAATAGATGAGACCTATAATGCCTCTCGATCTTCTGTGGATCCTACACATGTGAACTTAATGGTTTACAGTTTACTTATTTCTTATAACCTTACAATTTTTTTACCAATAACTTTTAATATCATGTGTTGTTGGTGTTGGATGTTTTCCACTGCCCACAACCCCTATTTGGTTTCTGCCTTTCTGGTGCTATTCATTTGCCCCTATGTTTTTCAGGACACCCACTTCTTCCTTTACTTTGTGTCTTGTTGTGTTTTCCAATTACACTAGTTGTTCCCCTTTTGGTACTGATGAAAGCTTCCACCATATACTGAAATCAGATTGGGTTTGGTATTAAACTTAGTTGGTGTTAAATTGGATTTGGTCTCTTAAGAGTGTATCTTTAGATGGCTTGAAACCTTGCACTAAGTATTGTGGATGCCCCCAATCTGTTTTGAATTGAAAAGAAGCAATCTGAACCAACTTTTATCTAATTTATTAATTGTGAAATTGGTTGTTCCCCTTTTGGTAATGATGAAAGCTTCCACCATATACTGAAATCAGATTGAGTTGGTATTAAATTTAGTTAGTGTTAAATTGGACTTGGCCTCTTAAGAGTGTATCTTTAGATGGCTTGAAACCTAACACTAAATATTTTGGATGCCCCCAATCTCTTTTGAATTGAAAAGAAGCAATCTGAACCAACTTTTATCAACTTTTTCAATTGTAAAAAGTAATTTATGGTATTTCTTTATTCACACCTGATTTTCTGACTACTTACCTTTGTATGTGCCGGATTAAAGGCTACAACTATGTAGCATCGATACTAGTATGCGGAAACGCGGAAACGGGTACGGGGATACTACAAAACCAAAAAAAGTAGGATACGGATACGGGACCATATTTATAAATACTACGGAGTATGTTGGTCCCAGATTTCTGTAGACTAACACACAGCTAGATGGATATCATCGACAAACAGAGAAGAACGATTACCCAGAATGATTTATGCAATGTCGAGAACTTGGAAATCGTCTTCCTATTATATCGAGAAGTATTTTGGCAGCGTAATGCTAGAGTGTATTAATCGATATCGGTACCTGTACACAAGGCGCATATTTATAGGCGCTGTACAGGTTACCGATTTAGGTAAACCTTGGGGTTTGGGCCAAGGCCTTTTTGGGCCTTTTCCCTTTAACCTATTTATTACAAAATGATTACTAATCTAATACCATAAATGGTATAACTAGTCTACCTTATTAAACAAGAT